TGGGGCCCTTGGTATCGGGGGCTGGGCGCTTGGGCGTGTGTCGGCTCGGCCTGGTGTCTGCCTGGTGGGGCTCGGGTCCTCTGGCCCTGTCAGGCCTTGGCCTGGGTGGTGTGAGTCCTCGGTGCCCGGGCCTCGGTGCCTGGACCTGGACCTACATCGGTGCGGCAGGTGCCGACGGAGGCCTATGAGCTTGTCGCTGTTGGCCCCGGGGGGTCACTGTATGTGGTTGCTGGTGGGGATATTCCGGTTCTCCCCTGTGGTCCGTTCTAGGGGGGTGGGTGAGTGGTTCGTCCTGTGTGGGTGGCTCTGGGGGCTCCGCGGTCGGGGTCCCTTCTGGGGTCTTGGGCTCTGGTCCCCCCTTTTTTCGTCTGCCTCTGGTCTTGGGGGTCGGGTCTCTGCTGCTTCACAGTTACTAATAAATGTTCTATTAGAGAAGCCTTATACACTTATGCATGCTCACAACCACACACAAATAGAAGCAGGGATGCTTATGTAGGCTTTAAATGTAGATATATAGATATGTATGTGAGTGTATATTCATGTGTATGTATGTATGTATGTATATAGGCGTAGGTATGGGTATATATATTTATGGAAACTTACTGCAAAGCCATGAATATTTTAAGTTTTTATACATATGTATTTTGTTGCTGTGTTTTGTCATGTTCTTTGCAGGTGAACAGACAGTGGCCGGGTGTTTTGACGTGTGCTCTATTTGTATATATTTCTTATATTTTGGAGTCTTACTTTGTCTTTTCTTTCTTTCTATCCTATTAAAAAAAAAAAAAAACCTACACTAGATAGTCACTATAATAAATATTTCATAATAATGGTATGGAGAGGATGGCTGTAAGGGGAGAAGGGAGGCCATCAAAAAAAAAAAAAAAAAAAGATAATAAACAGAGTGGCTTCATCAAAAAGCAAAATCTAGTTTTCGTTTTAAACCCGTGCAGCTCTGCCTGAGAAGACTGAGGTTTATTTGTGACTTTAAATCAAATGAAACCAAATTTATAAAGTTTGAGCTTCACACATGTTCCAGTTCCACATGTGATTCCGCATGTTCCAGTTCCCCATGTGATTCCACATGTTCCTGTTCCTTAACGCAACCGTTGATCCTAAGCTGCTAGCTGTCGTTTTAACAGACGAGATGTCAGCAGCTTATTAATATCAGGGAGTAATGTGGAGCTGAAATTACCCTGACGTCTGTCTCTCTGCCCCATCTGTGGCTCAGTGGGAAACTAAACTGTGTTTCAGGTCACTGTGTGCCACACACACGCACGCACACACACACACACACACACACACACACACACACACAGTATGCAAGTCAGTAACACCTCCATCATCGTTAATATAAAATCTTTGTTCAGCTGCTTTATGTCTTTCTCTCCAAGTTAATGAGAATATAATAATTAAGATTAATTATTTAACTTTGGGTTCAACTGGAGGTCGCCTGGAAAAGTCAAATTAGTTTTTGGATTTCAGAAAATGTTCTCCAACGAAGCCGTTATAAAGTTTTTATAACGATATGTCGTTAACGACGTGATGTTTAGAACGAGTCGGACGGACCTTCTGTTGAACAAAAACTTCACTCGTTGCGTCGCGTCGTGATTTATTTTGCAAAAGTTAAGCCAAGAAAAGAAGCTGTGTCCAAAGAACTGAGTTCTGGCCCTGATCCAGCAGAACCTCCTTCAGCAGCAGAACCCTCAGTTGTTCCTTGTATCAGCCTCTCTCCTGGTTCTGGAGGAGTGACTGACAGGAGCCCAAACCATCAGCCCTCCACCACCGTGCTGACAGCTGGGAGGAGCTGTTTGCTGCAGTTCATTCTGGGTAAACATCTGTCCTTTGGTCTGGTTCAGGTCCAGAAGTTTTGTGGTTCCTTCAGATGAAACCGTCCAAACTTAAGTCGTGCTGCCATGTTTGTAGAGAAAAGAGGTCATGACCTTTGACCTGTTGACTGAGGCCTGTCGAGTCAGTGCACAGTCTGACCTTCAGGGTGAATCTGCTGTGAAGATTGTCAGCTGTCTGAAATGTTTTCCACTTAGACTTTCTCTGTAGAACGATGGACTCTAAATGACCTTTGACCCTTCCCAGGTTGATAGGCAGCAACAGTTTCTTCTTTAAAATCATTGCTGCCGACTTTCCATCCTGGTGTCGTGTTACCACACCTGGCTGAATATTAATTGGTCACACATATCTTTACTCTACCCAGTGATAGGTTGGTTCCATCGTTTAACTGGAAAACAGACGGATCTGTTTCCTGTCAGGATCTTAGAACTCCCTGCTTGTAGTTTTCAGCTCCTTCCTCATCTCTGTATCATCTTACAGTGAAAACTCACCTCCCTCCCTTTAGCTCAGCATATCATTACCTCAGAGACTGCAGCATCCAATTAAGACTTTGTCCTTCTTTCACCTCTCCGGTTGGAGGAAAGATGGGAGGGAAAATTACAGATTAAGTGACTGGTTGGCACGTCGTTTAGCGACAGTGAAACACGAGGGTGGAAACTCAGAATCACAGTGAGGCAGGAGCTGCTGGGATGCAGCACTGGTCCTCGAATGTATTTTCAGATCTGATGTGCACATTAGATGTTTACAGGAATAAACGCTGTGAGTGGATTATTGATGGAAACGGAAGGAAGGTGTGTTCAGGGCTGGCAGGCTGCCTGATTGATGAGAAATATTAGACTGCTCGAGGACTGCACACACACACACACACACACACACACACACTCAACAGAGTTCACCTTCACAAAAAGCATCTCTGATCTGTGGCTGATCCGATCCTAAGCTCAATACGCTGATCTGATAAATTAAACATTGCACAAACAGCAAAACAGAAATTATACAATTATGTCCTTAATCACAAAGAGATGATTCAGGAAGAATTTTAAATCAACAAAAAGAGATTTAATTTAATACAATACAACAAAACAATGAAATCAATCTGTCAGTTATTCAGACTATTTTTTTACTACCCAATAAATTATTACAGCTGAAAAACAGACCATAATAACTTTAATTACAAAAGCAAACAATAAAATGCATTTTCTGTATTATTAAAAAAACAACATAAATACACTTTTTGTCTTTTTGCGTTATAAACTGATTCACTTACTGTAATAAGAATGAAGCACACTTTCAGTGTTTGTTGCTGTTTATACCGGCGCCGCTGCAGTTCTACTCCTGAACAGTAGGTGTCTCTAATGAGAAACCACTGCAAATTGCAAACTTTCTTCATAATTTTCTGCTTTTTAAGTGGAGGACTGTGCAAATAAACCTGCTTTCTGACTTTTTTGATCAAATAAATAACTGTACTGATTTTTTTTTTTGGTACAAAGACATGGTGGTCTGTTACAAAAGAGGGACAAAATTTAAAACTTTGTTCAAACCAATTTAAATCAGTACGTTAACTCGTCATCTTTTCTTGGTTGCAAGTTCCTGAACAAGAGTTTGATCGGTCTTATTTCACATTGTTGCTTATTCCACATCAAACTCAAAGATTACTGAACAATTTAAGACTTGGGGGGGGGGGGGCTTCAAAGTTGGCCAACTGTCATAAGAAGTCTGCAGTAAATAAAGAATGTTCTGAGTTTTCAGGGCAAAATGAGAGGCAATACAAATATATTTCATTTAAAGTAACACCTTGAAGGGCAGGTGAGATATTTTCAAAGGCCATATTTGGCCCTCGAGCCTTGAGTTTGACACGTTATAAACTATGCATCTATGTTTAATCTTAAAACTTCAGCATGTCTGTCAGTCGATACAGATCAGTCCATCTTCAGGTCCTCAGCCACCTGTATCCAATCATATCAAACTTTGAGAATGTTTTTGGCCTTGTTAAAGTTAATTTTGATGTCCACGCTTGTGTTTTCAGCATCATAGTCTGTTTTAAATTAGATGCATTTTATTTTATTTTTTTTGGGACTATTTTATTTGTAGGATCTGCTGAAGTTTCCTGTGAGGAAGCAAATGATCTCTCTTTGAAAAACAAAGTGAGATTTTTGGAACTACGATTGAATCCTTTTTGATGTGACCTAAAATTTACTAAAGCTCAACCAGCAGTCTTTCAGATTTTACAACTGTTGCATAAATCAAACTTCTTAAACTCCATGTTCTAATGTAATCAAAGAACAATATCAAGCAGAACTTTGTAACTTTATTGGAAAATTGCATTCAGCCGTGTCACATGTGGAGCAGAAAATTTTGCATTTGTCCTCCGTTCTTTCAGGTCTGTCATTTAAATTGCTCTCTTTGAGCTCTTTACAATAATTTTATTTATATTTGTAATTCATAACCTTCTGGACTATTTTAATCAAATCTACACCTGTTCATTTACAGGTAAAACAGTTGGTTAACACTTTAAAGCACCAACATTTCAATTTAAAGTATTTCATCCTGCTAAGCTAGGAGGCCTGTGGGCTCAGATGGAGATGCTGACTGAAGCGTTGCACCTCCTGGTCCAGGAGTCTTGTTCCTCCTCGTTAGTTTATCTGTGAGGATGTTGTCTGTCTGCGTTGCCTCACAGCGCTGCCCCAACCTGCATCTGTCTCTCTGCATCAGGCAGGTTTTCAGTTGCCGGTCTTTCTGTCGTCACTCTGGATGTTTGACTTTGTCAGCTTGTCTGTCTGTCTGCCTGTCTCCCAGTGTGTCTGTGAGTCCACCTGTCTTTGTGTCCTTGTGTTAACTGCAGTGAAAGACATCATGGCATTTGAAACAGCAGGACACTCTGTGTCTAAATGTCAGCTAAGCCCGCTGGTAATAGACCTTCCCATCTGTCCCACTCTCTGTTTTTGTGTTTTATTTGTAACCCTCCAACAACCAACTGTGTTTCTTTCTCTGTCCCCATAACAACAACCCCTTTTTTATATTTTTAGTTCCAATGTGCTGCAGGAAAACATATTTAGGGGATCAGTTATCTCAGGCTGTGTGCAAAGGTCAGGCCCACAATAATAAAAACTTGCTGACTAACCTGTGTATACCCTGTGTGTTTGTGTGGCCAGGATCATCCATGAGGACGGCTTCTCCGGAGATGATGTAAAGCAGTACAAGCCTGTCGTTTACAGCAACACCATCCAGTCTCTGGCTGCCATCGTCCGTGCCATGGATACACTGGGCCTTGAGTACGGAGACAGAGAGCGCAAGGTCAGAGCAACAGTTTTTAAACACGTCCGGCTGGACCTACAGACCAAAACACACACTACACTTCCAAATCTAAAGTTCAGGATGGCGTTCAGATGGCTCGCAGACACAAACCGTCACAGATGGAAGTGTTGGAGTCCAAACCTTTGAACAGTGCAGAGCTAATTTAAGACAGCTTCGACCCACTGAGCTCATGCAGCAAATGTTCAGAAAACTTGGGGCCGCTGTGAGCTTTCCAGAGTCACCGTCTTTCAGCTGAGGCATCTTGAGTCCAGCTGTTGTAGCGGATTCAGCCAAGCATCTGAGAACGACAGTCATCTCTACCCACTTGTCTTTAAGCCCCCTGTTATTCCTCTGCAGATATAATTGGTACACTATAATTATCTTGGTCTGTGCTGGTTAATACTATAAATAACGCACATATTAACTTGTCTCTGTGCGTAATGCTGCTTGCACGGCTAAGTTGTTCAACCGTTTTGCCACAAACGTTCAGTGGAAGGTGTCGTTAATGGTAAAGCTCCATAAAATTGCAGAGACGAGGCTTTCTCATGCAGAACTTGGACTTTGAGGGATTAAATATTATTCTAAAGACATTCAGGTGAAGCAGCATGCAGAGGACACAAACATTCGTTATGGTTTGAGCTCGTGAATCAAGTTGTTTAACAAGTTTGTGTTAATGGTTAGTTCCCTTCATGCCCACACAGTTCGATCCTGACTCCCCATGCATGCCTTTCTGTTTAATCCACAATGATACGTTGGTATTGAAGCTCTATGTAATGTCTTTTGAAGGTCAATAGTTGTAAATGTATATTTTATCCTTGTTGGGCGTGAACATGCAGTATGTTATTGATCTCCAGCTCTTTATTGCTTCTTTGATATTTGGTGTAATTCTCCTACAGCACTGATTTAAAAACCACATGGCTCCCAGCCAACTCCATCGTGCAAAAGTCTTTGGTGCCAGTCTAAGTTAGTCCCGCTTCAAAGTTCTATAAATCCTACAGCAAGCAAGTTCAATATGGAATAGGCTAATTGAGGATTATGAGTCTAATCCTTAAAATAACAATGATCCTGTCTTGGTTTTGAGCCATGGAGTATTTTTTTTATATATTAAAGATGCAAAAGTGTGTTTACATCTCATACTGTTTGTTGTGGGTTTGTCAACATGGAAGTGGCAGTGGCTAAGAATGTCTAAAAATGACTGAGGTATACCGGTAACTATATTTATATTAGCTTTGACAGTCATTTTGATTTTTGAGCTTGAGAGATGGTAACACTCAGGTACAGCGAATGATTACTGACAGCTACTAGGTGGCATAGTTTGACCTCCATAATTAAAGTTAAAGCTTTGTTTTGTCTTAGCAGTGCCAGCCAGTGTTTAAAACTAAACGCTCAGGAAACTGTTGGCACCAGGAGTACAGCTAGGGCTTAGTTACTGGTTAGTTGTAATTAGCTAGCTCAGGGCCAAAAGTAGAGAAAAGCTAATTCATTAGCAGATGTAACAAAAGTAGAAATGGCATTAGCCAAAAAAATATTTGTAGAAAAAGTAGAAAAATTAGCAACTGTAAACGTAGCATTAGCGGATTTAGCTTTAGTAGTATTAGTAATACCAGTAGTAATAAAGGGGAGTGGTGACGCAGAGGTTAGAAAAGATGGGTTCATGATCGGAAGGTTGCCGGTTCAACACCCCGTACCGACAACATAAAAATGTGGGTGAGAAAGGTGAAACATCCACATCTGCCTCCATCCTCATTTGCCCCACTCTTGGCCCTTGAGCAAGGCCCTTAACCCCCACCATCTGCTCCCCGGGCGACAGGCACCCAAGATAGTAGCTCTCTGCTCCACACATAGGGCTGTGGTAGCTCTGTGGTCTGTGGTTGCATCAGGAAGGGCATCCGGTGTAAAAATAATCGCAAAGTCTTCGTGCGACTTAGTTCGCTGTAGCGACCCTTGAAGAAGGGAGCAGCAGAAAGAAGGGGGAAACAGTATTAGTAATAGCTGTAGTAGAATTACCATTAGCAGAATTAATAGTTGTACACTTAGCTGGAAATAGAATTGCCTTTACCAGTAGTAGTATTAGCATTAGTAGTAGAAGAGTTAGCTTTAGCAGAATTAGCCATATTAGTATTAGTAATGGCAGTAATCGAAATGCCACTGGCAACATTAAAAGTAGTAGAATTAGGATAACAGGTTTGAACTGCTATTAACAGTAATAAAATTAGCATTATCAGTAGTAGAATCAGCAGGAATAGTATTAGCATTAGCAGTATTTGAATTAGCTTTAGCAGAATTAGCCATAGTTGAATTAGCATGATCAATAGTAGAACTAATATTAGCAGAATTAACAGTATTAGTGTTACCATCAGTAGAATAGCATTAGCAGAAATAGTAATAGCTTTAGCATTAATAGCATTAGCAGATTTAACCTTTATTGAATTAGCATTAGCATAATTTGCATTAGTAGAACAAGTTCAAGTCAACTTCATTGTCATTTCTACCATGTGGTACATGAGATGGAACAAAATTATGTACACAGGGTCCCAGTTGCATCCAAAAATAGCAAAATATAATGTATAAAAAGAAACGGTTAATAAGGATCTAAAATATACACTTAAGATTTACGCTAAACAAGTGCCAAACGGTACATTAAAAGATCTAAGATATCTGCTAAACACTAAAACCGTAAAACAATGTGGTGTATCAACAGCAGCCCGAACATGAGTCTTTGGTGAGCAGATAGGTATGAATGAATACAGCAGCATGAGATAATCAGCAGCATGAAATCAGCAGCATGGATAATCAGCAGTACAGATAAGTCGCATATCACCAATTAAAGTGGCATTACAGTGATTTTTTTTTTCTTATTTCTTAGTTATTATCCTGGCTAGGGATTTATGAGTCTTAACAGATTCAGGGTAAAAGCTGTTCCTCAGTCTAGTAGTTCAACACTTAATGCTCTGCAACCTTCTACCTAAGGGGAGCGGGGCAAAAGTTGTGTGTGCTGGGTGAGTGGGGTCCTTCATGATGCAGGTGGCCCTCTTCCTGCATCAGGAGGTATAGATGTCTGTGATGGTGGGGAGGCTGACTCCAACAGACTTCTGTGCAGCCTTCACCACCTTCTACAAAAAGTAGTAGAATTACCAGTTGTGGAAGTAGCATTAGCTGAATTTCACATTATTGGTATTAGCATTGGGAGTAGTAGAAAGGCTACTAGCAGAATTAGCAGTAGGAATGTTTTGCATTAGACAAATTAGAAATGACTTATTTCTTATGGGTAAAATACGGAAAAGCATAGAAAGTGCAGAAGTATGAGTAAACTAAAAATGTGCACAGTATGAAATATGCAGACGGATAAAATTTAAAAGTAACATGTACAAAAGTATAAAAAGGATGTTGGTCTGACTGCAGGTGTGCTCTTTTTGAAACAGTTTTTTGTTTGTTTTCCCCTTTCCATAGCTGCGTATTAGTTTTAGAAATGTGCATCCACCCAATCTGCATGTGAAGCAAGGTCATGCGGTTTGTCGGTTTCCACATGTAGCTCAGGAAACTAGTTTCACTCTTGTTTTTATTTGCTGCAGTTTAATCCAGTTTGAGACGATTTAATTTGATTTGTTCTTTTATATTTGTTTTGTTTATTGCACAAACAAACGCATTAACAACAAACTTTGGCAACTATCTGTGAGTAAATTTAACCAAATGAAGGATGTACAGTATGAGAGAACAGTCCATTCCAAACATCCACATCCAAACATCCATGTGGTCAAGTCTTGCTGATATTGCTAATCCATCAAACACTGCCACTGCATTCTTTGTTTCATGGAAATCTGCAGTGTTTAACTTGTTAACGCTCCTAAAACATCAGAATATTTTAAAACAAATGTGTTTGCACTTGAAAACACCTTGAAACGAGCATCCCGGTGTTATATGCAGGAAAACAAATGGCCCCTGCTTTGTTTTAATCCTGACGGAGACGTTGGATTGCAGATTAGATAACATCGTAGACGTGACGACAGGTTTATTGGTAGCTGATTTATTATTTATTTGACGCTAATTCTGCTGCTTAAAAGAAACCAGCAGTGATGCTAACTGTTTGGTTTATTCATGCTTTTGTTGTAAGTGATTTAGTGATTTGCATACTCTTTTCGCTAACTTTGGTTTAATTCTTTTAATTTATTTTTGGCTTTCCGTTCGTCTCCAGACCCGTGTTAGTTTGTGTGTCTCATCCGTTTTATTGCCTCCATGGTATTTAGGTCCCTTCGTTCTTTCTGATCGCTGTTGTTTATCTCACTTCCTGTTCTCTCCCTACTGCAACCTTTTAATTGTTTTGATTTCCTGCTTTCTTAGTTCTGCATTTGGGTTCTCCTTTTCCAATAATGTACCACGTTAGCGCAACGATGTCTGTCACTGGCCTCAACCGCCTCCAGAGGCGCAGAGTGTTTCTGATAACGACCACGCTCGTGATATTTCAGAGTAAAGATGAAATAACAGCACAAGTATTGATTCAGTTTGTGTATCGGTGTGTGTTATTGCTGAAGGAACTTGATGCGATGTTGGTAAAAATAATAATAATTTAGGGAAAAATATAGTTGTGTGTGTGTGTAAGGCTGCCGTATTATTATTAACTACAACAGCAATAAATATTAAACTCCAGCATGTCCTAACGTTTAGCCAGAGAATAACAGAGTAAACTACTTCATTTGTTTTTACTTCTTGCATGAAGTGAGTTCAAATGAACATTTTGTCCTTTAAGGTGATGAGAGGCACATGTAGAGCTTGTGACTGAAATTACAAGAAAATACTCAGCTGAGATGGGACTTTTCACATCTTTAAGTTCATGTGTACTCAAGAACAAACTGCAAGATTCATACATTCCCATAAATCCATCCATCCATCCATCATGTGGTTCTGGACTCAGGTCTTGAGGGTAACAGCTTGATCAGGAAGGTCCAGACATCTCTTTCTACAGTCATCTCTTCCAGCTGTTTTGGGAGGACCACAACATGTTC